AGCTTCTTACAGAAGACGTTACAGGTCTGTGAGAGCCAGAGATTTTCCTTGTTTGAGGTGACCAAATACTTATTTTCCACCCTGATTTACGAATAAATTCTTTACAAATCCTACCATGTGGATTCATGGATTTTTTTTTCACATTCTGTCTCTCACAGTTGAAGTGTACCTCTGGTGCAAATTACTGACCTCTGTCATCATTTTAAGTGGGGGAACTTGCACAATCGGTGGCTGACTAAATACTTTTTTGCCCCACTGTATCTTTTAATATCAAATGACCATATATACATTTAGTATTTATACTGTTTGTATTTATAGTACAAATACTGTAAAAAAATAGAAATTACCATACAGTATTTGCAATATTTTGGTTGAATTCCTTTTTAGTTAAAGGAAATTCTAATAGCCACCCATTTTGCAGTTTACAAGTGGACCCTGCTACAGCTAAGCAGCACTTTTTATTTAACATGCACTTTTACAACTATTTTTAAGCTACATCCATAACATTAGTAATTGTATTACCTTAGCCTGCTGTTTTACACAGTCTGGCCAGTTAACAGAGTTAGAAAATAGCAAGTTTCCTTGTCATTGTTTTCTAGCTGAAATTCTTAAAGTATCACCTCTCCAGGGACCATGGAATAAGTGGGAAATCTACACTTTAGCTCCATCATAACCACAACCCCCTATGAAACCCTACAACACAACCTACAGTGTAGAATGTAACTGTCGCAGCCTGCTAGTATTGTGATCGATCTGTTCAGTTCATCAATTAATACTGTGAGTGGGAAACATGACCAAACTAATAAACGATCATGGTGGACTGAAGGACTGTTTGACGTGTCCATCAGTGTGATTTTTAGGATGTGTAATATAGATTCAAGCTTCACAGCTTACATATCATTGGCTTCAGTCTGTGGACTTGTTAAAGAAAGCAAAAGGGAATGAAGTGTGTGTGTGTGTTGGGGCTAGGGTATATGGGTTTGTGTCTGTGTGTGTGCTGCCATTGTATTCAGGATCGTGACAAGACTGGTAACACTGAAAACAGCCCAGTGAATTTGCTGGTAAAGGCAGAGAGTGACAGTTAAAGCGTGATCTCTAACCTCGTCTTTGTCGTCAGAAGAATACATTTTCCTCTTTTTCTCCCTCCTCCTTCACTAGAATAGTGCATGATTTCATTTGAAGCTTGGCATTCCTCGCATTCCTCCATACTTTTCTTTCCTGCAGCTCCATTCCACCTTGGTGTGTTTATATAGTGAAGTGAAAGACTGGATGATAGAGGCATCTGCTGCAGCAGTGACACATCACACAGAATACTTTTGTGGTGTCAGAAGAAAACTGAACTGGTATCTACAACTAATCTTTATCCGTAAATATGTGCTTAAGAGAATGCACCCGGGACTGCCAGAGACAGAGGAGTTTGGAGTCAAAATATTCAAACATGCACGGTTTATTGCCCCTGGTCATCATCGCAGTACTCTAAGGAAAGTCTGTGAGCCAGCACAATCAGGCAATCAGGAGTTCTGGCTTGGAGAGTTCTGTTAGTCAAAAAACAGAAATAACAAATAGAGTTCATAAAACAAGAGTAATGACGGTATGAGACACCTAACTCAGTGCAGGCTCAATGAGTTGAGCAGATTCCTTCTTTGGTTTTTAGGTGATAGCTAAAACTGTTTCCAGACAAACGCTTTACTGCAGTTTGTCTGTTAATCAGCAAGATTGAAAGAAAACTACCAGGCTGAATTTCTTTCAACCTGGTGGAGTGGTGGAGCATCGGCAAGATGAGAAGTCTGAACCAGGGATGGTTCTAAAGTCTGAGTGCTGATTAGATCATTAAGCCGTTGGTTAACAGGAAATCCATTGACAGCTATTTATTTACTAGTAATTTGGTCATCTTCCTGGTTCCAGGAATTGCGTATACAAATTTAAACTAAAACAAGTGAATGTCAGGTATTTCCATTTCCGTTTCTGCTCCACCTGAAAATCCGTAGGCAAATTAGATACCAGCAATTTTCACATCAGGAGCCAGAATTATCATGGTTTTTCCTCTGTGGTGTCTGATGCCTTTGAATAATGAATAAAACAAAAGCAGACTGTTTACTCTTGGCTTGTGCAGTATCTGCTAATGAACATTACTGCAATGGAACATAACTTATTTCCTCTTTTCAATGCTTTAACTTCACCCCTTCTTTTTCCTTGTTGCTCATGCTTTCCTTTTTCTCCTTTTCAGCATACATTAATTTTTTTGTATAACTATTGCTATAGATAGCAGTACGGCTGTTCGATACAACAATATATATTGGATGACGATATGAAAAAAGTCTTATTACTTCATATTATGCTATCGTTTGTTTCGTGGTGTTGTAAAATAAACTGTTTCTGGCAATATTTTTTCATCGTTTTGATGGTCACTGTAGAATTCCTTAAAGTTCTCTCTTTCTCTTATTTTATATAACCACACTACGGACTGACAAGCCATATGATGCAGCTTTCACACATTCACACATGTTTTTATGCATTGTTGTTAGCAGCAGCGACGATAAAACCATCGTGTGGCTCCACCGTCCACTTGTTTATTTTCCACATAAACCTTTCACAATAAAGCTGAAGAGCCTGTTGAGATTTTTCAAAATAAACGGAATCACGTGAAATAGTATGCAGAGTGTTTACGGATGAGACGCTAAAAAGAGCCGTCAGGTGCTAAAAAATAAACCTTAGAACAGGCTTTTCCCCACAGCACGGCATGTAATAAATACTCACAAAGAAATTTGCGGCCATTTCAACTTATGTAACACTCGACTCTAGGTACACAACGCCCAGCTTAAAACACTTCACGCAAGTTGAGTTGCCTGAGATTCACAGAATTTACCGAAAATGTAAAATTTTTGTGATATATATCGTTGTGGGGAAATGTCTTATATCGGGATATTAGATTTTGGTCATATCGCACAGCCCTATATATAGGAATGGGTATCATTTAGGCTTTATCCATTACCGGAGCGAAGCCGGTACTTTTGAAATGGTGCTCGAACCGGTGCTTAAAGAATGGAAAACACAAACTTTGTCCAAAAACCTCTCATGTTCAGCTGTTTTTTTGTAAAAAGATAACAATGTTAGCCTTTTCTGTAGCTATAGGGCATATAAGGTATCACTCCTGGCTGGAAGCAGTGCTTAAACAATGGAATAAACACAAACCTCTCATATTTAGCTGTTTTCCACTTTTCCTTTGGTCGTTTTAGCCTTTTTGGCCAGGGTGAAGGGAGTATCTGCCATCAAACAAGAAGACAGCCGCATGTAGCTATGATGATGTTTGCTAGTTCACCTTACATGCATTAATGTAATAACGTGGTTAGCCTACTCAACGTAAATTACACACGGACGACATTAAGCTACTCACCCAAAGAAGAACGGCTGCTGCTGCCATCATCATCCGTCATCATTTCTGCTACACTGGCAGGGCTAGGGGCCAGGACTCTCCTCTTCGGGTTCTTGGGGGATGTTGCTAACTCCGGGTCCGATAACAGGCACCACACCCGCAGTAGATGTGCTCGGTGTGAGGTCTTGCAGCAAGCTATCAAATACGGTGCATTTCTCAGCTTTTTTAAAAACGCTATGCGTTGCCAGGTGTTTCATCAGATTCGAGGTGTTACCTCCTTTGCACAGTATCAGCTTAAAGCACTTGTTGCAGGCTGCTGAGTTGGCATCTTTTGCTGTGAAGTACAGCCAGACTTTTGACCACTTCGCCTTGGGCATTTTTAATCTGTAGCTCTGCTCTAAAAGAACGTACGTACCTGGGCCCGCCTACTATCTTTGGAAAGGTAAAATGATTGGCTAGAATCCAAAGTGTACGACATCTCAGGAAAAAAAAAAGCACCAAAATAAAGCACCGAAATGTACGCTGCTTTTCAGTCTGGTTACTACTGTTTATGTCAGAACCCATCCCTACCTATATAGCAGCACTTTGTCCTAATTTCAATAGCACAGAGCACTGCTTACACTAGTGTTATTACTGTATCTTTAAGCAGATTTCTTGGTGTGATGTAAATTCTAGTGGTCATTGTTACACCCCGGCCTAGGCAACCGGCGTGCAACGTATGAAAATAAAAATAAGAAAAAAAACACACGAGAAAAAAACTAAAGCTCTCCACCAAAATTCCAAAACGAAGGTGTCTCAAACGAAAATATTAACAAACCCATTCACAGCTATTTACAACAGACTATTTATTTACAACAAAACACCAAACTATTTACAACACGGGGGAGATCACAACCATGACCAACTGACACACAGGGCTTAAATACATAGAAGGAGCAATCAGGGAATGGACCACAGGAGGGAAACACAGCTGGGGCAAATTAGACCTGATGAGACAAGGAAACGTAAACTGAACACTCTAAGATAACAACAGACCTTCAAAGTAAAACAGGAAACACATGACAGTCACGCAAAAACAAAACACTGACAACACCGAAACGTAACAGTCATTTACTTTTTTACTACTATACTGAAAGGTACCAATGCAACGGTGACACATAATGGACTAAAAAGTTGTACATGAACAAACATCTGTCCTAGGTGTCCACACCTATCTGGATGTTTTCTCTTGCTTTGGGCCTTCCCATGTCAGCAACTTTTGCCTGTCATTGAGGTGTAAAATGTTAATTGCACAGGTCGCCAATCATTAGAGAAAAAAGTTTTTGTAACAACTGTCCTTTTTTTACTTGTTTCTATTTTCTATTTAGCATTACTCTTTCATTCATTTGACAACTGCATTTGTTTTCATTCAGAGTGAATTTAATCCTGTTTTAATTGTTGATGGTTGGTTGCCTGGACATTTTATCACCTTGTGGCTACTATCTATTGCCACTTGTGAACAATGTCGCACATATTTTTCTTTTTCTTTTTTCTCTTCTTCAGAGAGTATGGAAATTATAACATATCTACAAAGAACTGTACTTGAGTAAAACTGTGTTAAAAATAAGGACAAAAAATAAGGACACATGTTACTTCTGTAGCACGTGTCCTTATTCGTACGATACAGAGAAGATTAGCATGGTCCCTGCGCAAGGATGACACGCAAATTTGTGAAGCGTTCCTCTTTTTTTTTTTTTGGGCAGGGATAGCTCAGTAGGTAGCATGGTGGCCCCATGATGGGAAGGTCGGGGGTCCGAATCCACTGAATGGCTACTCTGAGGTAGAGCAGGGCAATATGACCAAAAATATTTATTACGATATACATTTGAAAATTTGCGACAATGATATAACTGACGATATAATTGACACTAGACAAAATACTTTACAACTCCACAACTTTATTAGTGCAAAAAAACCCATCAATGTATTTTCACTTAAACAAGAAGCTGTTTTTTTATGTGCATTAAAGTTATATAAAAATGTAACAGTGTAAATTCTTTGCTGACAGTTTAACCAAAAGGCATTTCCAGTGGAAACTGGCCGACATATCCTCAGCATAACCATGTGTAATATCCACAAAACTTAAAAAAAGGTTATACACACACAATACGTTAATATTATGTTGAAGCACAGTACGTATCACTCCACGAGGCTCCTGCCTACGATAGCTGTAATGCTCCGACAATCCATCAAGCGGTGTGGCTTCGTAGCTTAGCAAAGTTGTACTAAAACATTGGACAGATTTTCGAGCGCCGTGTTCCACATAAAATCGTTTCGAGGTCAGTAAACACAACCAGAATTCATATATAAGGCACACGGGATTATAAGGGGCGCTCTACCAAAAATTGTGCTTTGTTGTGTATCTGACGGACGAAAGCTAAACCAGTTCCACACCACTGAAGTTGCAGCATTTTTACAAACCAATTCTGGTTCATCCGTTTCATTCAACGATCCGCTTTCGCCCTTCTCATTCTGATTTGCCGCCATGTGCTTATGTAAACAAAGGCACTGCGCATGCGCATTTTACCCATATTCTATTGCGATATTTCATTTTCCTTTCATTGCCCAAAATTACTCCGGTATTACCGTGAACGGTATGATATAGCCCAGCCCTACTCTGAGGTACCCCTGAGCAAGGTACCGTCCCTACACACTGCTCCCCGGGTGCCTGATTAGTGGCTGCCCACTGCTTAACTGAGTTAATGGGTTAAATGCAGAGAGAGTAATTTCCCCATGGGGATCAATAAAGTATTATTATTATTATTATTTTCCCTTTTCTGTTAAAGAAATGTTTTTAACCACTCACCATTCAACATTCGACTCAATGGACAACGCTTCTTAGCTTCTGTGTTGATTGAGAGCTACACAGTGTTTATTTCAGCTGGAACCAAGATGCCCTTTCTTTTGTCTTGGGATTAATGAGCATCTCCCACTGGTTCTGGTTTTGTATGCCCACTTTTCTGGAGACTTTTCTGGAGAAAATCTCAGAGAAACAAACTCAGCGATTTCTTTGCCTCCTGTTTCGATGAGGCCTTCAAATGCCAGCATAAATGGGCTATAGTGATGTCATGAGTATCTTGAGACACAACCAATGCAATCGCCACAAATTAGGGTTGAGTTGTTGTTTGACTCTCTGCTTTTTATTGTTGTGTGTGTATGATGTCCCATGGTGGCAAACACTGGTGTTAACTCCATACCAGAGCATCCCATGTCCTCCACTATATTTATCGCTTTTCAGCCCCCCCCTTTTTTTTGCAATTGTTTTCCAGTACCTAGTTTGAATATTTTTAAGGTGTAGTTGTGACAGCGAAGCATGACTCTCCAAATGCACAGAAACAGGTCTCCCTGACAGTTGTGTATACCCTGCGCCAGAGCTCTGCCTCGCTGCGGGACATGAAATACCGGAACTTTGTTTCCGCACACTCAAGGCCTCGGCAGTGTTGACTCAGTATGAGAGTGTTTGTGTTCTTGCATCTCTCGCAGGGCTGCTGCCTGCAAACACAGCAGCTGGGTTTCTCTCATTATCTCATGAATTCACAAGTTAATTCAAGGTCTGAGAGCTTGTTTAACAGCCAGCGCTCGTCAGCTGCCTCATCCTCCCTTGCTGGAGACACACTCAGATGGCTGTGCGTGTTAGTGGGTTTAAATGTGACGCAATGGTGGAGTCACTGTTGTTTCTGTTCAGTCCGTCTTTAGTCAGAAAGTAACTTATACAAGAATGTTTTGTTAACATTTCGAAATAAGAAAAAGCTTTGTGTTAGGAAAACCATAATATGATGCCCTTTTTTCTGCCATCTTCTTTGTTGGTGTGTCCTGAGGATCTATGATTGCAAGTGAGCAGATGCTATCAATGTATTGAAGGCGGCTCTTTGAAGGAAATGCAACAGGCAGGGAGAGTAAGCAGAGATCTGGCCGCCTCTCATCACAAAGGCATTTCCTCCTCAGCCACTTCCTGCTAAGGAGCAGTCGCCCTTAAAATCACAGCAGAGGCCCAGGCTACGCTGACGGTCAATATGAGGCCTGTCATTTGGTCATCGGGCTCCTTTTATTGCTGTGAGGAAAACATCTTTAACCTTGTACAGTAGGTGGTTTTATAGCCCAAAGCATCATTAGTGGCTATCCACTGCAGTCCTGTTCTTTACAAATGGTGTACTCTCCTTTTTAAAGTAACAGCATAAAAGGAAAAAAAATGATGAGCAAGCAGGAAGGCAGGGTCTGTTTCAAGCCACAATCTGTGATCCAAGTATATTCAAAATGCTAAATCCAATCTCACTGTTAGTAACAGCAAAACCGGATTTGATTTGTTTTATGAAGCTGGAATTAAAGAGTCACAGAGTAGTACACAATACAGACATTTCACCAGTCCAATGGGACATTTCATCTGTAATATGAATTGATTGGTAACTGTTCAAATCCACCCAAAAACGTGGGGCCAGAAAAATAATTTCCTATGGTTTTGTACTTGAAAAATAAAATAAATGTGTCATTAATGTAAAATCACAATCTGTCATAAGTTTAATTTATTAGCAGGCTTTGTGCCCAAGGCGAAGTCGTGTTTAATTAGCTCACCGTGCACAGGCTGGTGTTGGGATTTTAAAACCCAACACAGAAGATCCTGTTACCAGTGGTACTTGTAAATATGTGCACCCAGACGTTCTGAAATATTCATATTTTGTGACAGTAAACATCAAAGCAATAATCAGCCCTGTCTCTTTAGCCTTGGTTCTGCTTAACATTTAGTGCTAATTAACAAACATCAGCCTACTTAAGGTTGAGTCCACTCATAAAGTCACTCACGCACTTGTTGTCATGGTTTTGAAGCAGATATGTTGTTGCTAGTGAACGTGAAGGTGCCTTTGGAACCAACTTATATGTTTCCAAGTAAAACAGGCAGTGTTGGAGTTGATATTAGTTAATGTACCTGTCCTCTTATCCAGTGGTTGATTCGTCTGTTATCATTAACACTTGCTGCATTTCTTTGTCATTTCTGACAGCTCTACTAATCTAGGAAACTAATTTAAAATTACACATGCATAATTAGCATACTGGCATGGTCATTTATAAAGGCAAACTGTACAGGATTGAAATTAGTTTATGTTGCAGTACAGACGCTTGCTTAACAGCATATGATAACTCCACCCCAACTGCTGTGCAGGAAATGGATGCTGACACTAAAAAAGTTGTTGTGTTGTTTTTTTTTTATAGGTTTAATAACATTTCTGTATGCTACAAATGTCATATGGACATTAAAGTTAGAGAGTCTGGGAAAAACAAAACATTTCATAACTAAGAGTCACAGGGAGAGCACATTATTTCTAAACTGTGGGTTTTATCTATAATGAAGATGCCCACTGTGCCTTATAAGCTGTTCAAAGGCTCTTTGTGATTTCCCTGTGAATCTGTAATAAAAACCAGTTGGCACCAGCATTTTCCTGAGGGACATCCACCCTACAGGAAGTGAACGGCTGAATAAAAGGAGTGGCACGGTTGACAGCTTTGCAGAGCACTTCCTCTGCAGGGACCGTGAAGGAAAGGCTGAGTGACTTGACTTTTTCTTCAAGCTGAGATGTTCTCCCACGGCCGCTGCAGTGAACTGAAGTGTGGAAATCGGCTTAAGGCGCCTCAGCAGGGTCAACTATCTGCCGTTCCTGCTGCCTGCCTAAATTGACCACCTCACTGCCCTGACAGGAAATGAGAGCAGAGGTTGGAGAATGACGGATGTGATTATTATTCTATATTCATGGCCTTGGTTTGCATCGGAAGAAATCGTCTCACGCTGCAACGCAGTTAACACTTCCTTCTCCCACTCCCCCTTCTCCCACTCCCCCTTCTCCTCCTCTTAGCCCTCCTTCTGCAGACAGTTTAAAAGACAGAGCAGCAGACAGCCTGAGGGCGGCTGGGCTTTAACTGGGCTGACAGTGGATCAGTACCATTAAACAAGTACGCAGAGAAAGACAGCAAAACAAAAGATATGACCAAATTATCTCTCCTCGCTGCCTGCAGTACAGTCCACTACACCAGAGTTTATTGGACGATTTTGAACCTGTTAAATGGGATGTGTAAATAATTTAGAGTTTATTGCTTGTTGCTCTGTAAAGATGTATTTTAAGGATGTACATTTTAAAGCTAGAAGCTAAACAGTAGTTAAAGGCGACAAGAAGTCTCTTTTTGGACATTTACACTGGGGGAAATAATTAGTTGATCCCTTGCTGAGTTTGTAAGTCTGCTCACTTTCAAAGAAACGAATAGTCTCTTATTTTTATGGTAGCTTCATATGGTAGCTCGGAAATATATTTTGGGTCATTGTCATACTGGAAGGTCCCCCAATGACCTATCTTAAGTGTTCTAGCAGAATGAAGGAGGTTCTTCAACTCCAAACTGGAGTTGCTACTAAAGTTTCATTGTATTCCTGATAAACCTTTCTTTTGGTCATTTGGTCTGTGCAATCACAATTTCTTAAATTCCAAAAAGCTAGAGTTTTTTTTAAACCCTTGCAGGGTCCTTCTGTGTGTGGAGTATGGGTTTTTAGCATGTTTTTTCTCAGGGAGCTCCGGTTTCTTTCACCTTTAAAAACATGGTAAGTTAATGCTGTCTGTCTTGTCCCAGGACACAATCTGAAGTTCATGTCAGGAGTTTAAACTTTTCAGGTAAATGAAAGTTAAAAAAGGTTCCAGAAATTAGAAAATACAT